ACAAGACCACGGCGCTGTCTGAAGTCAGCACGAGTTATCCTAACTTCCAGACGACGCTGCTCACTCAACAAATGCCATTCGAGCAGCTTGTGACACCAAGCCTCAATAGCTCCAAATATTTCGACACGTTAGATGGTCGCGTTCCTAATCACTAATATATGTATATGTATATATATATATATATATATATATATATATATATATATATATATATATATATATTTTTTTTTTTTTTTTTTCGATTTCTTTCTTTTCTTTTTTCTTTTTTCTTTTCTTTTTCTTTTTTTCTTTTTTTTTCTTTCTTTCTTTTCTTTCTTTTATGTACGGATGTGATTTTTAAAAGCTCATTGAGATAAATGGCCGTTTATCCGCCGGTATGCTGTGAATCCCAGAATACAATGCGATATTCCATTTCTGCGGTTACATTGACCGCCGGTGAAGCTGTGACTCGCTTGCGTAAATATCGTAGCAAGACATTACTGTGCGTACCAAGTCTCGGACTGTGTCTAGCGAATACAAGAAATACAAGAGAAATAAAGAGAAAACTGGTCTCTTTTGAAGTCAAGTTGAAAAGGGTGAGAGGAGACGAAGCACAGCAGAATAAGTGAATGAAGCAATGATGTAAAAAGTTATAGACTCCTAAGTGATGACATAAAATGCTAATGGCAGATTAAAAAATAAGAAGGATTGAATCTGAAGAAAAGAAAAAAAAAGTTTATGATGCGATTCAGCAGAAAAAGAGGAGTAATGGCTCGGATTAATAAAGAAAACCACAAATGACAATCAAATCGCATCCCAAATACGGACAGACAACAAACAAGATAAAGAAGAAAACGGAAATATAAAAGAAACAAGAGACACACCACATACCCAACACGCGACAGAAAGGACCTTCTTGCCCGGCCCTGTTCCCCAAGGTACTTTCTACCAGGTTACTCCTCGCCTCGCTCATTAACTCCGCATCGACGAGCGGCGAAACCACCAGGCAGGCGAGGCAAAAATCGCCAGCCACGTGAACGCAGCATTCCTCTCGCGCTCTCTCGCCCAGCCAACTCGTCCGGCAAAAGCGAGATCCTGCCACTAATTTACAGCAGGATTATAAATGATCGTTCTCTGGACAGGCAGATGCTAGGCGAGCGCGAGTTCCCGCCAACACCCACGAGTCAACAAGAAAAGTAAATAACCTGCTCGAGTCTGGCGCGCGCTCCTGCCGCCTTGGAACGAGGCAATGTCAAACAAATGGCGATCGGGAATTTGATCTTGATTGAGGCCGCCTTCCGGACTCTCAAACATCTTGGGAGTTGATCATTTCTGAAATTCTGTTTTCTGCAAATATCAAAGCAAATGCAGTGTGTGATGTCTGTTTAAATACATAAATTCATAAGAGGAGATAGAGACGATTGCACGCAACGAAAAGAAGCACCAGACCCAAATATAATATATATTCTAATCATTAATTCATCCTCCATAACCCAAATCCTAAATTAAGTTCTTTAAGCGTCGATTTGCTCTCTTCCCAACAAACAAAAAAGCTGCTCTCAACGTTTTAAACATGATAACGCTTGACGTGTACAACTACGCGATATCGAACTTTAGATAACATAGCATATACCTGTGAATATTTCTATAAACATTTTGAATGTTAACCTTATATAGACGGATGAAATGTGCAAAGCTCTGATCCGTAATACATATAACTTACACTCTAACACATGCATATAAGATTAACTTATAATCTATGTTGATTTATATATACGAGTGCATCGATGTGAAAATTATATATAAACGCAAATACGGGTAAGTAATTTTCAAATAGTCAACATAAATATTTTCATACACAAATTTATACAGTGAGGACATTCAGAACCTGCACAAATATGACATACCTACGCACACAAATGTATGCATATGTGCACATTTAAACACACATATACCCACAGCACCCTCCTAGTCCCTCTTTCAAGGTTACCAGCTTGACAATGCAATATTTTTTTCCTTGGGTTACGTGTCTCGATGGGTGAACCTCTGGACATTTTTGGAGAAGAGAACTTGGAAAACAAAAAAGGAAAAAAAACTACAAGTTTCCAATTAGGGATAAGATTAACAGGTCGATAATGTTTTAATGGTTTTTATTTTGAGTGCTGTAATCCTGTCATTTATGTATCGATTTTATTTTTAATCTTGTAAAAAAGACAAACAAAACTTCTTCGCTCTTACCCAAAAATATTTTCCGAGAAAAAAATCAGACCTATAGATTGAGGAAACGAAATATACCAAAAGAGAAAATATAAAAAAGAAAGAAATAAGAAGAGGAAGAAGAAGCAGACGAAGAAGAAACAACCAAACCAGAATCAACTCCCCTCCTCCACCCCCTCAATAAAAAAAAATCTCAAAGCACCAGTAATAAAAAAGTCGAAAACGCGTATCTCGGTTAGCCTGCCAGCCTCCTTCAAAAGCACACGGGACACCCATCCATCGACTGTCACCGAGAGAATTTCCCTTCGAACATTTCAACCTCTTGTCTCCCTTCCACCTGCCGCGTGGCCCCTTGAGTTGCCGATTAATATTTATTAAGAGACTTTCTCCTCTCTTCAAATCATGCGTGACGATTCGCAATTACGAATGGCCATATTTTCCCGGGCTTTTGTGCGTTTGTCCTGTGGTGAGTGATATCCGTGGAATATATTATCGGTGTACAAATACGGTAAGTGAGTATGGTTAGGCAGTGGTAACATGTGTTCGTGATATGGTAACAGGGTATGGGAGGTTATGGGCACCGAGGAATCTTTAGCATTTCCTGTTTCTATGTTACTAATATATATGGAATGTATGGTTTGATCGGACCACGTGAATTTCAACGCGAAATGGGCGTTTTCTTCGGCCATCTCATCTGTTTCACTTTTCGGAATTATCGTACGTGAGCATTGCATTTCAACTGAGTCAGAGTTGCAAAGACGTGCACGCCTATTAACCTCCGATTGCAGTTTTACACTTCACCTCGTCCATAATCAAGACTACCAAATTGACGCTCAGGTGATTTATTTAGCAAGTATGATTTCATAAAAACCTTTAAGAACCTTTACTAAATTATTAATTATTCGTATTAAGTGAAAGTGAAGTATACAGTTTAATACACGTGCAGACGATGCCACGGTAACGCATCGGAACAAATACCCGCCAAAACTCAAACGCTCTGGAATTGGCGGGAACATTTGGCACATGACTAATAACTTTTAACGTTAACATATGCAAATCAGTGTTGAGAGAGCGTATCCATGCGGTATAAAACGAATGAATAACAACCATCTTTCTTGTTGATTTTGGCTTTTTAACTCCCCCTCCAAGTTTCTTCAGGAGCGACACCCAAGGTCACATCACATGCGTCACAAAATAAAGTACACCGCACAACAAAACACAGAAATGGGAAAACAACGCCAAATAAAGGACACCCAAAACACACGCCCTTTTGCTTTTCCTGTAAACCCCGCCACCTTAACCCTTTTCTAACACATCTGCCTAACTAACCCTGGGAAACCCTTAACCCTACACCATTAGAAGAGGGGGTAGTGCCCATTACGACATCTCAGAACCCCCCCCCTCCCCCCATCCCCTACCTGGACCACACCACCTCATTATGGAACTTACAGGTAACATTGAGGTTAGCGAAGAGAGGCTTCCAGGTCCTTCCGTGTTCACGATAGGCTCCTCTTCTCAGTCCTCTTCACACATTTGTTTACGACAGCCGGGCATAATTCCGCGGAAAATTAAAAAATAAAAATCAACCTGTTAGCTTTCTCGTGTGGGTTGAGTGGTGTGGAGACATATTCGCTGGAAATGTTATATAGTATGACTAGCGTCCGCGTGTCCTGTCGTCACTAGATAACCTTGATCATGGTCTATCAAGGCCACTTTGACATACTTCGTGCAGAATAATGTCAACATTTTCGCAGATATATTCAAATACTTCGCACTACTGGTTGCTGAGATTAGTAGCTGCGGTGTGTCGTTATATATTTTTTTCTTTATTTCTCCCTCCCTGTTATTAGCCGGCAGATATTTTTGGTTATTTCCAAGGTATTCGTGCTTTTGAGAGGTCCAACACTTTCACAAATGGCTCTCTTGAATTAGCACCTTTGCAATAAGCTGCCTCTGGACTTCACTAGTTAACACTGGTAGTTATGACGATATTTATTAATGCTTGGTTTTTGCTTGCCTATCCTTATCATGTGCTTGGTATCCTGGATTGTTTTCACTTCTGATGAAACACTTCCTATTTAATTTTTCATATTTAGATTGCTTATTTATGGCTATGTTACTTCTATCACTACTACAGTATAGTGATAACGAACACCTCCAATCACTTATAAGCACTACACGTTTAAGCACTGTAAAACACTTCATGTACCTCGTTGTCACAGCACAACACAATAACATATAATTCCATCACAACATATCACAAACGTATGCAAATAATCAATAATATCAGACTTCATAGGCCTGTTGAATCTTCATCTTAGGTAACATTGTATTAATTCCAATAATCACAATATAGGTTCCGAACACTTTGGCACAACTGAGGAATACTTTTTGTTGCTCCCGCTTCCAGTAAATGGAAAACTATTTTTCCACCCTCTTTGCAAGGAAAAAATCGCCAATTCTCGTAAGGAACAGCGGCGTGCCCAGTCGGGCTTCGTGTGCCTCTTTGTATCCTTGACTGGCATGGGTGGCCTCCCTTGGCAGAGTGGCTGCGTGCAGTGGCAGATAAGCTTTGTATGGATGCCGGGAGGGAGTGCGGCAAGGTGTGTGTGGAGTGGGTGGAGTGAGCGGAGTGCCCGCCGCCCGCGACCAGCTCACGGACACAACACTCGGCGAGCAACTAGGCAGGGCCGCTGCTCTCGGGGGCGGGGGATGCGAGGCGGATGCATGCACCGACTCTCCACTCCCACCAAATCATAGCTCCTTCACACGTTCCACACAGCCGCCAGTGCTTCCTCCCATGC